CACAAAAAAAAAAAAAAAAAAAAGGGTTCAGAGAACTGGGCTGGTGAACACATCCAGGTGCCAGGAGAGTGGTGCACCTGGTGGGGCATGGAAGCTCTGTGGCCCTTCCCACATACCTTGCCCTATGTGTCTCTTCCATCTGGTTGTTCTTGATCTGTATCCTTTATTATAAACCGGTAATCTAGTAAGTAAATTGTTTTCCTAAGTTCTGGGAGCCGTTCTGGCAAACTTTCAAACCTGAAGAGGGGGTCATGGCAACCTCCGACTTATAGGAGGTTGGTCTAAAGCACAGATGACAACCTGGACTTGTGACTGGCATCTGAAGGGGGAGGAGCAGTGTTGTGAGACTGAGCCCTTAACCTGTGGGGCCTGCCGCTAACTCCAGGTCAGAACCGAATTGAATTGTAGGACACCCAGCTGGTGTCAGAGAATTGCTTGGTGCGGGGAAAAATCCCACACATTTGGTGTCAGAAGTGGGGTGAGTAGTGTGTAGAGGAAAACAAGTTTTTTCCTCTTTTCGAAGTCTTCCCAGGGCACTGTTGGTCTCTAACACGTTGATGCCTGGCTCATAAAATGCCTCAGTACATGTTTGATGGAAGAATCCATTCTCATAAGATTATCATTATTACCCCGTTTTACAGGTGAAGAAACTGACAATTTATAGTGAGTTTAAACAGAACAAAGGAAAAACATATTTAAAATAAGCAAGGGAAATGGGACAGAGGGAAGTGAAGATGGAGGTCAATACACGAATTGAGAGTAGAATAAGGTTCCTGTGGTCAATGGCCCGAGAAACTGAGGTTCCGAGAGTGACGTGCCCAAGGTAACTTGGCAAGGATTTTCATTTGCCTCTAAGCTTCCTGGCAGTAAGAGTTGGCAACCCTTTTGTTTAGGAGAAAGTGGCAGAATCACGCTTGACCCAGAGATGAAGGTGAAATCGCTTCCGTGGAGCCTCACGGAGAGGACATGCCCCATGGAGTTAGTGGCTCCAGGGCAAAGCCTCCCAGGGCGGTTTCTGTCAGTGTAGACTGTTTGTACCACCACCATGTAACTCACTGTGACCAGCTCCCCTGGGGCCAGAACATCCAGGCGGGGAGAGGGGGACAGATGGGGCTCCCCAGTGGTGTGGCTTATGCCTGGGACAATCTCATAGGGCCTTCACTCTTTGATTCTCAGCCAGGCTTCTGACTCTGTGCGAGGCTGGGAGGTCAAGGTCACGTACTCTCATGGCCCCAAGATGGTGACTGGAGTGTGGGATTGTGCTAGGGGAACCAAGTGCTCAGCCAGCTCACGGGCCGGGGCACGTGACGTCCTTTCAGGTAGGGGGGCAAGCGTGAGAAGGATGTAGCCCAGACCCTGTGTCCCTGTCCCTGGTTGTTCAGGGAGACAAGGCCAAAGGGATCTGAAGACCATGGTCAGGGGCTGCTTCAGCCTACACACCTGGGTTGACAGAACCTCAAGTTCTCCATTGACCTTTCTGACCTGGTACCTTCTAAAGCAGGTGAATCCAGGCAGCCCCCCTGGCCTTCCAATTCTCAGTTCAGTCCCTGCAGCACAGCTAGCCTGGGGCAGTGCCACCGCTGGGGCAGCAAATGGTGCAGCAGACGGGGGTCCAGGGCCTGCCTCTGGAGTTAGACCTGGGTTCCAGTCCCGGCTCTGCTCTGTGCCCTACATCAAACCACTTAATCTCTCCATGCCTCGGCTTCCTCCTCCATAAAGTGCAGCTAACAATGATACCCACCTCGCAGCATTGCCTGGCATGTAGGAGGGACCTAATAAATGTTAGCTGTTGTTACTACTATTGAATGCAGCTCACGTAACGGCAGAGGTGATGGCCTGGGTGGGCTGAGAGGAGTGCAGTTCAACTGTTTGCTGAATAGGATTCTAGTCTGATGGCAGCTAAGCCGGGTCCTGTATTCTGGCTGGGAGAAGCAGGTATGGCTGGGGACTCTAAGGGAGCCACAGGCAAGGGAGGCCGCGCTTTTCTAGCCCTCCCCAATGCTGGGCAGAGCTGAGCTGAGCCCTCATCCCTCTGACACGGGAGCCCCGCTCTCTCCCGGACCTCCTAGGTTCCAGGCAGCTTGTGTGTGAGAAACCCTTTCTTCAAGTGAGCTTCCCTTTCCGAGGAAGCTTGCTATGAGCATAGGAGCCAAAGTCTCTCTGGTTCAAATCCTTAGCTGGGGCCTTTAGTAGATTATTTCACCTCTCGGAGCCTCAGCGTCCTCATCTCTAAATGGGGATGATAACACACCTCCCTCACAGGCTTGTCGCTTGGATGGAGTGCCTGGCACATAGTCAGTGCTGGTATCATCGTGGAGCACAGAAAAGCCCAGAACTGCCCCAGGTGCAGTGAGGATGGGCCTGGGATCCCCGCCTGCTCAGCTTTCTTATCCTCTTCTCCACCCACGGGCTCCCCAAAAGAGACTCTGAGAAGCACAATGTGGCATAGCCACTTGGCTGGCTCCACCCCACAGGGGCAGTTTCCTTTCCTCCCTAGAGCCTGCTGAGGGCACAGTGGCTGCCACAGGGCAGGAAAGAGCCCTCTTGCAGGCCTGAACAGGGGGACCAGACCTTGGGCCCTGGGAGGACTGGGCTATATCCAGCTCAGTCGTGGGCCTATGGGTCAGACCTGGATTCTAGAAACAGTCTGCCTGCCTGCTGGCTTTTTGTAGCCTCCCCATAGTACCCACAGGAGTGCAGCAAGAGCCTGCTGCGGGGAGACAGGCCACTCACCGTTGAGGGTTGGGGGTGTGGAAGGAGATCCTAAGGGGGATGAGTCGTCTGAATCCAGGTACCACGTGGCTTCGTCCATGCGGGACCTTCTCCTGGGGAGGGGAAGGCAGTTGTGCTCTGTGAATCTCAGGACTGTTGGGAAGCAGATTACACCGGGGTGCGGGGCACTCAGGCACTCACCTCCCATTCTGGGCTTCCCCAGGCTTGGGGGAACTGGGACCCCAGGCCCAGCATGCTCGCCGCTCTCCATTGCTTGAGTCCTCCAGACGTCGGGGAGACTGGCGGCCCCACGCCTGGCCTGATTCTGCAGGCTCCACTGTAAGGGGAAAACCGGTAGAATCTGAGCAGAGGTCAAGAACGCTGATCCCTGTTCTCCCATCATGAGAGTCAGGCTCCAGGGGCAACTTAGAGGATGGGGGAGCAGGCTGGGCCCCATACCATTCCCAGGGTGGGCTCTGGGCCACAGAGAACTAAACAGAACTGGGCCCGGAGAGATGGGTTTTGGTCCTGGGGCTGGCCATGGGGTGGGACATCTCATCTAGTCCTTCAGTTGGCATTTGCTGCTCAGTTGTTAGTATAGCCACCGAGGCAAACTGCCTGGGTTTGAATTCTGGCTCTGCCACTTATTAGCTACGTGACGTTAGGCAAGTTATTTTTTTCATTTTTCTCATATATAAAACTTAGATAATAATACTAATGATGGCTACCTCACAAGGTTGTTGTGAGGAGCTAAGTTAATATTAGCAAAGCATTTAGGAAAATGAGTAGTACATAGTGGCATACAGTTGTTTGACTAAAAAAATTAGTAAAATAAATGCTGCTTGGGGTAACTGAGAGGTACCAGTCTAGACGGATAGGGGAGGGAGCCTGGGGGCAGGGAGGAAGAGGAGGAGACAGTGGGTGGGATCCATCTCCAAAGACAAGGTTTGACAGAAGGATGGGGGAGGAAGGCATGGGGAGGCAAGGTTTCTTACACTGGATGGCGCGGAACCGGGGGAAGGTGGGTGAGTCCCCAGCGCCGACCTCGAAGACGTTTCTCCTCCTGTCCAGGCCGGGGGAGGCTTGCACGGTGATGCGGTGTTTGAAGTCTGGGGTTGAGGGGGAAGAAGGGTGCAGGTTTGTGGTGAAGGAGAGCGAGGATCCCAACCAGGATCCCAACCCGCAGGGCCCTCGGCCGGCTCCCCGGCCACACAGGCAGGGCAGGGACTGGGCCTGGCACGGTGGCTGTGTGACTGGGGCCAGGCTCAGTGCCTTCCTGGGCCGCAGGTTCTCGGTAATGAAAGCGGACCGCCTGGACTCCACCACCCGGAGGAGCGCGGCAGAGCTGGAGATTCCCGGGAGCCAGCCTGCCCTGCCCCCTGGGCCTTCCCAGAACTTTCATGAGCCCTGCCCCTTCCCGGCCGCAGCCACTCCCAGGCCGACTTGCAAATATTTCCGCCAGCACCCGCCCACAGGGAGAAAACACACGCTTAGTCCCGCCCCTTCCAGCCTTCAGCTCACCAACGCCCTAAACCAATCCCCGTGCGGCCGGCACACACGCCCGACCCCGCCCCTCCGCCGTACAGCCAATGGCGAGCGGCGTGGTGGGACCCGCCCCTTACCGAGGGGCATGCTGATACGCTCGCCGCCGTCGCGCGCGCGGAGCTTGCTGCGCTTGAAGGTGCCGCGGCGGCGGCGCACGTGCGGCCGCTCGCGGTCTACCTGCTGCAGCAGCAGTGTCAGCTCGCGCTCGAACACCTCCAGCTCCCACTGAGCCAGCAGGTGCTCGCGCCGCCGCAGCTGCTCCGCCTGTGACCGCTGCTCACGCGCCGCGCGGGTCAGCTCCTCCTCGCGGCTCAGTAGTTCCTGTGCCCGGGACAGAGAAGGCGGTGGGGTCAGCCGGGTACCAACCCTGGCGCCCGCCCCCACTCTCTGCTCCACGGAGACGAGGGAGACATTCCTTCTCGGAGTCTCCTTCCAACCTGAGACCCCGACACCTCCCACCTTTTCCTTGGCCCGCAGCTCATCGAAGAGGCCTTGGATCTCGCGCTTCCAGCCTTCCTGCATGGAATGGAAGGAGTCCCGCGGCATTTCCCGCAGGACCTGTGCCTCTAGCGCCTCCAACTGCTGCAGGATGGAAGCGAAGTCGGGCCTGCGGTGGAGGTCCTGCGCCCAGCAGTCTGGGGACATGAAGTGGAGAGGAGACAGAAGAAGGAGTCTGTGGGTGGATGTGTCCAGGACCAAGGAGCTCTGCCCCTCACCCTCACCCTCCCGCCCCATCCCCTTACCGGCCATGAGCTGTGCGAAGGGCTCAGGGCAGGTGGATGGGATGGGCAGTGTGAGCTTGTTAACCGCCACTCCGTAGGCCACAGCAAGGCAGTCGATGCCACGGTAGGGCACCTCCCCGGTTAGCAATTCCCACAGCAGCACCCCAAAGCTGTGGGCGAGACAAAGGGTCTGTGTCCCCTCCTCTACTCACTCATTGCCATTTCACCCTGAAGTGACCAGGAACTAAAAAGTTTGGGTCCCTCCCTCTCTGCCCAGCCCTGGATTTTGGCAGCCCCCTCTGCAGCCCTGTAGCTGGCCCTGTCCAGCCTCTACCCAGGCCGCACCTCCAGACATCGCTGCCCTTAGAGAAGGTGGAGGCCTTGATGACCTCGGGAGCCATCCAGGCATAGGTGCCCGCAGCACTCATTTGTGTGGTTTTGTGCCACTCACGGGCCAGGCCGAAGTCCGTGATCTTCAGGGTCTTGTGCTCCATGTTGTCACCCTCAATGGGCTGTAGCAGCAGAACTGGGAAAGAGGAGGGCAGGACTGTGGGTGCTCCAGGCTCAAGTGGTGGGGACAAGGGAGGAGCTGGGAGCAAACTGTCATCCGACAGACATCCTGGCTGGGCACTGGGGGCACCGAGGTGATCTTGCCCTGCAGAGCTCACAGCTGGGTTTGGGGTAGAATAAGACAAAAATAAAAATGCCGGGAATCATTTACAGGGGGGTAACTAGAGGCCAGACCTTTTACGCTCAGCTCTAGCACCCACAAAACCAAATCTGTAAGGTAGACATCATTATCCCCATTTTACAGATAAGAAAACTGAGCAGGGAAATGACTTGGCCAAGGTCCTATGCAAACAAAGCAAAGATTCCAACCTGGTCTGTGTGGTTCCAAAGCCAGCCCTGTAACTTTTCCCTAATACCACAGTGAATAGAAACTGACAATATGGCAGCCTCTCAGCCTTTGTGGCTCTGATTTCAAGAGAAACCCGTGTCTTGTCATTATGCTGAGGCAAGAGTGTGAATCAGAACCTCCCTTGGTGGGGAGCAGGAGGGAACCCCTGGCAAGAAAGGAGGCCCAGCAGGCACCACAGGCCCCCAGCATCCATATTGCACCGTAGCCAGTGCAGCCACTTCCAGGGGAGAGAAAGACTCCAAGATATAACTACTGATGCCGTTGGATGGAGGAGAAAGGGAAAGGCTAAGGAAGTGATGGGTCTTGGCCAGAAAGGAGGAGCTTGGGGCAAATGTAGGAGGGGATGGTCAGACTTGGCAGGGGCTCATGGCTTCAACCCAAATGGGGCCACCAGGCTCTGTACAGAGAGAAGCAGCAACTTGCAGATCTCTCAAGACAAACATGGCTCAAATGAGAGAAGTGTTAGAGGAATAGAAAAAGGACGAAGTCAGAGAATCACCAAGGGTCTGAAGGGGCCTCTCTGCTTTCCTGGTTAGAGCCGACTGCATCATAGAGAACTGACATCCAGGCCAACTATGTTTCTGAACACGTGTGGTCTCCGGGCACACTTCTCAGCAATCCTGCCCAGGTGACTGCACCATAATGGGGCAGCACAGGGTAGTGGGGGTGGGGCAGAGAGGATGTGCACCTAACTCAGCCTGGTGAGTCAGGGAAGACTTCTCACAGGAGGCGGCGGAACCAGGGTATTCACTTTTCCAGGCCAAAAGCCACAACCCCTGATCCTGCTGCTGGCCAAGCTCTCTGGGCCTCTTGGGGGCATCTGGCACTGCTGTCCAACCCCTCCCTGCTGTCCTTGGCTGCCGGGGCCTCTGGCTGCTTGTGCTGTTTCCTCCAGGGCCTCCCCACCCTCAGCCTTTTCAATGCTCTCACGGCCTGGCCTCTCCTCCTCTGCCCACTGCCCCCGGGCTGTCTCAGCCTCTCCCAGGTGCCAGCTGCCCCCTCCCCATTGGCACCTCGCACGTTTGGAGCTCTAGGCTGGACATCAATTCAGCTGCCCAACAGCTGCCCTGTGCCCTGGACAACCACCTTCACCATCCCACCGTGCCTGACAAATCTTCCTGCAATTTCTCCTAATTCAGAGAACGGTCCTGCCTCCATCCTCTCCTCTGAGCCAGACTCGGGCTGCGTTCTGAACAGTTCATAAAGCCGAGGATGACAACAAAACCCACCTCAGAGGGTCATGAGTAGTAAACAAGATGACACTGTCTAAAATCTCAGCACAGGTCTGACATCTGGCCTGAGTATGTACCAAATCCTAGTGGTCCTGAAGATTCTGCCGCTGACATCTCTCGTGTCAACTCTCTCCTCTCCATCCTCTATCACAACTTACTTCTAACTTCACAACGGCCTCCAGCCTGGCTACTGGAGGCTCCGAACTGAACCATTTAGCAAGCCCTACATTGCTTCCAATGTCATTCCAAAGAACCACAGCAGGCTGGGGACAGGTGGCTGGAAAGAGACCAGGCAGAGGGGTCTGTGTGCTGGAGTCGGGGAGGGACTCCTGCCTCCTCTGGTGCCAGGACCCACCCATCCTCTTGAAGACCAACCCTTGCTGCTTCCTGGCTGGGTCTCTAGCCACTTGTGGTACCTCACAGGCTAGAGAAGCCCTTTCTGCACCACTATCTCAGGCTGGGATGCCAGTCTCCCCCTTTCAGTCGGGTAATCTGAGGCCCAGGGAGGGACAGCAACTCACCCCAAGCCTCAGGACTGGTGGCCTTTCTGCCACCTCCTGTCCCCAGCTCGATCTGACACCTGTGAAACCTCATCCTCACATCCACGTCCCCCCTTGTTTTTCCAAGTGCCTCGAATTTGTCCCAACCCAAGATGCTCTTCTGGTGTCTGATGCAGACTTTGGGATCGGGGCGGTGAGGGGCCACCCAGAGGAGATGGGGCTAGAGATCCCCAGGCTCCAAGCTCCCCCTTAGGGCTCCCTGGCCTGTGAAAGGGACCAGGTCCCCCATCCCCCTCCCCTGGCTGGCTTCTGCAGGGCCTGGGAGTGGCTTAGGCTACTCACACCTCTTCCGCTTCCCTGCCATGGTCCCTACTTCTCCTTTCTGGGAGGCCTGGGCCAGGTCTCCAACTGGGGGGGGTCCTTTGGGGGGAGAATTGAGGGAGGTCAGGCCCAGGCCGGGCTGGCTGGTCAGTCCTGTGACTCGTGGGCCTGGAGAATTCCCCCTCCTCTCCCCACCAGGCTTCCTCACAAGGCCCCCATTGTCCAGGAAAATCACGCCATTGTTTCCTGCCTGCGCCCCCCCAGCCCAGGGACTCCCCCCACCAATCCCGCAGACGGCACCCCGGGCCTAGGACTGGGGTCTGCGAGGTGGGAGGCCAGGCTTAGGGGGGCTGAGGGCACCTTGCCTGCCCTTCACCACCAGCCAGACTCTGGGAGGGAAGCAGGGGAACTGGGGGGAGTGGGGGTGCAATCCCTGGCTCCTTCCTCTCCTACAAACCCCCCACCCCCAGCTCTTTCCTCCCCTGCAGGCAGCTGGGCTGGGGAGGGAGCAGAGGCTGGAGCAGGGGCAGGAAGCCGGCTCAGGGGCAGCAGGAAACGCAGGAAGCAGTGGGGAGGGTGGGGAGCAGGGGCCTGGGCTATTGTTCCATTTTCTCTGGAAAGAAAACTAGAGGAAAAACAGAAAACGGAGTCCCCTCCCCCCGGGCCTTCGGGGAATCCCCCTCAGGCTGGGGCAGGGAGTGGGGGTCCCTAGACGGCTAGGGCCCAAGAGTGAGGCTGAGGCTGGAAACTGTCCCTTACTGTGGGTGAGAGGAGTGAGGGGGTGGCTGGCAGGCCTCCCTCGGCCCCTCCAGCCCTAACATTGATGTGGATGGCATTGGGTCCTGGTGTTCTGCTCCCCCCAGCCCCTTGTCCACAGATAGCCCAGGCTAGGAGACTCAAAATATCCATGCTCACCCCTCCAAGAGCCGCCCATGCCCCTCCTATAACCCCACTGGCCCCTCTTGCACTTGCTTTTGCTCTATCGCCTGCACCCTGGGCCCCAGCAGGCCCAGCCCGTGTCCCCACTGCTGTGCTGGGGCCTGCCTCCTCGCCTTCGCCCTTGTCAGGCCCTGCCAACAACTGGGGGCCTCTCTGAACACTGCCTGCTTTTGGCCTGGTACGAAGCTTGCCTGCTACAGGAAGCCCTCTGAACCTGTCCCTCGCTTGTCTCGGGCCCATGCTGGGCAGCTGCACGGCCTGAAATGGCGGGAGATGGAGTGCCTGGCTGCTCCAGTCTCCTTCAGCCCCACCACGCCTACCCCAAGTGCTGATGCCAGGTGAGGCCCTTTTGGTGATCCAGCCCTCAGATGTCCATACCCATGGCTGAAGACCCACTGCGTGCCAGGCATCGGATGCCAGGGCTTGCCTAGTCCATTAAGCCACTTCACCCTCCCAGTCACTCCCTTTTCACAGAGTCTGAAATTGAGGCTCTCAGTTGAAATAACCAGCTAGAGGTCATGCACCCAGGGGAGGGGTGGGGCCAGAATTCTAGCCCTGGCCCCAGCTTTGACCACCACGGGGGGCTGTCCCCTCTGAGACATCTGTTCCAGAGAAGCTGCCCACCACAGGTGGAGGGGAGAACAGGGCACCAACAGCACAAGCGTGAACGGCAGGGGAGGGGAGATGAAGAATGCCAGCACCCAGCATTCTACTTCCCTGAGGTGGTGGCCATGACAAGGCAGGATGCTTATGGCCCCTCTGAGAGATCCCAACTTTCTAACTTGGCAGCTGTAAGCTGAGGTCAAGGACTCCTCCTGGGGCTGGGGCACAAAGGACCCTCACAAAGGCAAGAGCTCAGCTCAGGTGGGCTCAGCTGAGTTGGCAGTAGGCGTGTGCCTGGGCCATACCACCCTCCAACCACACTCCCCAAAACTCACTGTTGTTGGACTTGAGGTCTCGGTGGATGACAGGCACCAGGGCCTCGCAGTGCAGGTAGTGCATCCCACGGGCAATTTGCACAGCCCAGTTGACCAGCACGTGGGGGGGCACACGCCGCCCTGCCAGGGCACGGCTGAGGGGCCCACCGGCCGCGTACTCCATCACCAGGCACAGGTTGGGCTCCTCCAAGCACACGGCCTTGAGGGCGATGATGTTGGGGTGTGCCAGCATGGCAAAAAGCCGGGCCTCCTGGCGCACACTCTCAGCTGTCACACTGATGTCCTCATCGGGGTCCTGACGAGCTGCCTTCACAGCCACCAGCTCACCTCGCCAGCTGCCGCGGTAGACCTTGCCGAAGCCACCGATGCCGATCACCTCCTCCAGGCGCAGCTCCTGGAAGCTGGCCACCTCGCAGGGGGGCGGGCCGCCGCCCCGAGACACATAGTTGGATGGAAAGATGCCCACCTGGCCGCCCACCTGGCCCGCCCACCAGCCCTCATCGCCTGAGATAGCTGCATCCCGGGATAGCACCTCCACACGGTCGCCTTTCCGCAGGGCCAGCTCATCCTGCCCACTCGGCTCATAGTCGAACAGGGCTGTCCACACAGGGTTGGCATAAGCCGCTGCCTTTGGGGACCCCTCTGGCCAGCCTCCACCGCCACCCCCACCACCCCCACTGCCACTGCTGTTCCATGACCCCAGCGGGCTCTTGAGGAAGAGGTTCTTCAAGGGCTCCATGGCTGGGAGCCGGCGTTGGGGCGTGTGGGGGACCTTCCCTGGGTGTCCCTGGTCCCCACCCCTGCTGGCTGCCAAGGCCCTAGTCCCGGAACCTGGGCATCCGGGCCCTGGCCCTCAGCCCCAGACCCACGCCTCTCTGGGGAACCAGGAGTGTCGCTTCCTGGCCCCCCGCATCTCGCGCTTCTAGGGGAGAGCGACCCAGGGCAGTGTAGTCAGGCTCCCGGGGTAGGACCCGGGGGCCTCCGGCGTCTCACCATGGCCGGCTCGGAGGGACCCGGGCGTCCCTCAGTTCTGGAGCAGTCCTGGGAGCCTGTCTCCTGCACCCACCAAATGTAAGCTGCAGCCAGCGAGGGGCAGCGCCTGGACTCCGCTTGGGTCTTTTTGCGCAGGGGGTGGCTGGAGTGTTCCTAGTTGGGCTGAGCTGCCTCTTCCCGGCCGGCTCCCGCAGCCCAACGGCTCCAACCCAGTTCCCTTCTTCCTCCTCCCTTTGTACTTTGGCCCCGGGGGCGGGAGGCAGAGGTGGAGGGTGGAGTTTCACTTTTTTCCGCTCTTCTCCCTCCTGCAGGAAACAGCATCAGATGACGCGGGCGGGTCGCACCGCTCCCCACCCAGAGGCTGCAGGCGGCTGGGCCGGGGAGTTCCCGGGTAGGCAGGCGTAGAGGGGCAGAACGAGGGGAAGGGTAGGCCCGACGCCCCATCATGGCAGGTTTAGGGTCAAGGTTGGTCTCTGCTAAGGACGGGCCATCCCCGCCCTCTGCATCCGCATCAGCAAAATGGGGTCAAGAACCTGGTTTGGGAGTGGGGCAAACTTGAGTCTGCTCTTGGCTACGAAGTTGCAGGACTGTGTGCCCCATCCTCTCTGCGCCTCATGCTCTTCATATCTGAAATACGGACCAGAAGCTCCGCTTTGCAGAGCTAGTGGGATGGGGGAGGGGCAGATGCGAGGAGGAAGAAACTGGCTGCACCTCAAGGTCTTGGAAGGGGTTGTCTAAGGCTCTCCTCACTTGGGAAACAATCCACTTCTTCATGACCCTTCCCCGGTGGGCAGAAACCTGAGACTGTTGTCCCGAAATCTGCCCAGTGATTGGATTCAGAACAGCTAAGTCGCCCTCACAACCGCTGGTTTAGCCCCAAGCGCCTTGAGCCTGTCACTTTAAGAAAAACGACGCTATCCTATTTCGACTATTCCTGCCTGTTCTGGAGGGTCTCTCCCCACCCCGCCCGCCCCACTCTAGGTCTGAGTTCTGACCCGGAAGTAGAGGCCGCTCGGGCCGAGAGACGCTCATGACGTTTGAGGTCCAGCACAAGAGGGGTGTGCTCCCGGAGCCCAGAACTCTCGCCGTACCCTGGGGAGTCCACGCCTCCATCCTTTTCCCCGCCTCCTGTAAATCACCAGGAGAGCTTTACGCCAACTAACGCCGCCGTTAACCAATGGCCACCCAACTATCCCTTCGGTTTCGCCCAGTGGTCTCTGCTAGGTTGGCTCGGCTCAGGTGTGCGCATGCGCCCAAGGCCTTCCACCTTTGGATCGCCTTTCCTCTCAGACCTAGACTTTGCGCACGCACACCCGGCTCCTCCGTTTTTTATGGCTCCACCACCTCCCTGCGCTTGCGCATTCATGCCGTCCGGTTTTCCTTTTCCGGGTCCCAACTGGGCCCGTCGTGCGCATGCGCCATTGCAGGCTGGCGGCTCGCGGCTCCTTCTTCCGGCCTCCCCCTCGGGCCGGCTCCCGCAGAAGCGGGGCGAACGCGGAGCCCGAAGCAAGTGACCTGTGACCCCGGAAGTGGACCTCAGGGTCTCCGGGCTCTCCTGGGGCCGGAGCCGTCGCCTGCACCCCAGGAGCACCCGCCCCACGCCCACCTCTGGATGCCGCCGACTGGTGCCCGGCCCGTGCCCCGCGCCTGCCTGCCGGCTCGGCCCCTCGGAGCAGTTCTGGGCCGGCGGTGGGGGCCCAGACCCCGCCCCTGATGCGGCTCCACCCCCGCACCCGAGCCTCGCACCGTTGACCGTCTCGGCTAGCCCCGCCCCCTGCCCGCACCTTCCCCGGGCGACCCCTCTCCCCCGCTGGGGGAGGCCATGGCGTGAGCGCGAGGCCGGGCCCCGGGGCCCTCGGGCGCCAGGCGGGGCATGGGCCGGGGGCCGCCCCCATGAGGGTCCCGGGAGGGTGGCGCGCGCAGCAGCGGCGGGGCCATGGGGTCGCAGGTATTGCAGATCCTGCGCCAGGGGGTGTGGGCCTCTCTCACCGGCGGTTGGTTTTTCGACCCGCACCAGAGCACCTTCTCCAACTGCTTCCATCTCTATGTCTGGATCTTCCTGCTCACCTTTCCCTTCTTGCTGTACATGGTGAGATGCTGCCGCCACCTGTAAATCCCGCCTGGGAAAGGGAGGGCAGATGTCACAGCGGGGTGGCTACCTGGTACGGATTTGGGGCTGTGCTTTGGGCGCTGGCGTGTGGAGAGAGGAATCTGCAGAGTTTGGGGTGTGTGGAGGAGAGGCCAAATGCATCCCTTCTTGGGCTGGGTGACCTTGAGTCCCTCACTTAATCTCTCTTTCCAGTTGGAAGATAGAGGTCCGTAACAGGATTTTTGTACTGGTGGCAAGGAGGGATGATGAAATTTTCTTGTGAATTTGTGAATTCTAGCCATAACTGGTGGTAGGTCCAGCCCATGGGGGTAGGGCTGTGTGAGGAAGGACCTGACTTGCTGTCACCTCCAGGTCCTGCCCCCCAGTTTGATGGTGGCCGGCGTGTACTGCCTTGTGGTGGCTGTCATCTTCGCTACCATCAAGACTGTGAACTATCGGCTGCACGCTATGTTCGACCAGGGCGAAATTGTGGAGAAGCGCAACTCTACCATGGGAGAGCCGGAGGAAGAGCCCGCCCAGGGGGACAGCAGTCTGCCCAGGTGGGTGGGGCAGTGGCTGTTTGGGAATTGAGGGGTCTTGGTGTCTGGGCCTGAGCATTGGAGGATGGAGGAGGGGCTTAGGGAACCTTGGCTCTTTGAGCTATCGAGCACTACGTGTGTAAGGGGACTTTTAAGGGCACCATTGAGAAGGAAGGAATGATGGGGATGGGGGAGAAGGTACCGTATAAAGAGGGGAGGTTAGCTCAAAGTTCATGCTTTTCTTCACTGCTAGGGACCCTGGAGTGGAGATGACAGTGTTTCGGAAAGTGAGTTCCACACCCCCAGTGCGCTGTAGCTCCCAGCATTCTGTGTTTGGCTTCAACCAGGTTTCGGTGAGTGGTCCCAGCCCTCAGCCTCTCGCACTCTTGGGAGCTCGTCCCCACTGTGGGTGTGTCCTGAGCCTACTCTTTGCCCTGTTTGCTCCTTCACGGCTCTCTCTGCCTGCTCAGGAGTTGCTGCCCCGAATGGAGGACTCTGGGCTCCTCAGAGGTAGGTGGTTGCTGCTCAGAGCTGAAGGTGGTGGTGGTATGGAAGAGGGGATGGTGTGCGGATGCCTCGAGGTCCTGCTGACGGCTCTGGGGCCGTGGTTGCAGACATCAAGGAGCTGGTGCGGGAGCAGGGCAGCAACAATGTGATCGTGACTTCAGCCGACCGAGAGATGCTGAAGTTAAGTTCACAGGAGAAACTGAGTGAGTGCGATATGGCAGGGGCTTGGGGGAAAGACTAGCTATCTTGTCTCTGTCACCCCAGGTTTTCCTCCCTGGGGCCTCTCTGTGTCCTCCTGGATGGGGCCGCCTCAGTGTCCTGTCCCAACTGGGCTCTTGGAAAGGAGAGGCCGTAGGAACCGCTTAGCCACCCGTTCCTTTTATAGCATGCCTGTTTGTCATGTGCTGTCTTTCTTCTTTCTGATAGTTGGAGACCTTCCCCAGACGCCCCCGGGAGCTGCCCCAGACCCCTCTCTCCCCAGCACAGACTCTTCAGAACGTTCTCCCCTGGCTGGAGATGGAGCCCCCTGGAGTGGGAGCAGTGTGGCTGACACTCCCATGAGCCCCCTGCTGAAGGGGAGCCTCAGCCAGGAGCTGAGCAAGAGCTTCCTGACCCTGACCCGGCCTGACCGGGCCCTGGTGAGGACCAGCAGTCGACGGGAACAACGCCGGGGAGCGGGCGGCTACCAGCCCCTGGACCGGCGGGGCTCGGGGGAGCCCATGCCCCAGAAAGCTGGCTCCTCAGATTCCTGCTTCAGTGGCACTGACAGGGAGACGCTGAGTAGCTTCAAGAGTGAGAAGACCAACTCGACCCACCTGGACAGCCCCCCCGGTGGGCAGGCCCCTGAGGGCAGTGACACAGACCCACCTTCTGAGGCTGAGCTGCCCGCCTCACCAGATGCTGGAGTCCCCTCAGATGACACGCTGCGTTCCTTTGACACAGTCATAGGAGCAGGGACACCTCCGGGCCTGGCTGAGCCGCTCCTGGTCGTGCGGCCCAAGGACTTGGCCCTGCTGCGGCCTGGCAAACGGCGGCCGCCCATGCGAAGACACTCCCCACCTGGCCGTGCCCCTCGGCGGCCCCTGCTTGAAGGCGGGGGTTTCTTTGAGGATGAAGACACCAGCGAGGGCAGTGAACTGAGCCCGGCCTCCAGTCTCCGATCTCAGCGCCGCTATAGTACTGACAGCTCCTCTTCTACTTCCTGCTACTCCCCCGAGAGCTCCCGGGGTGCAGCAGGGGGAGCCCGGAAGCGACGGGCCCCCCACGGGGCTGAGGAGGGGACTGCTGTGCCCCCAAAGCGGCCCTATGGGACCCAGCGGACGCCTAGTACTGCTAGCGCCAAAACGCATGCCCGTGTGCTGAGCATGGATGGGGCAGGGGGTGATGTTCTGAGGGGCCCCCTGGCTGGCTCCAAGGCTGAGCTGGAGGCCCAGGCAGGGGTGGAGCTGGCTGCTGGTGAGCCTGCTCTGCTGCCCGCTGAGGCCCGGAGGGGACCTGCTGCCAACCAGCCCGGCTGGCGGGGGGAGCTGCAGGAGGAAGGTGCTGTGGGGGGAGGTGAGTGCCAGCTCCAGGGCTGGGGTGAGGAGGCGAGCCAGATAGGGGCTTGGGTTTGGGTAAGGGACAGGCTGGAGTGCATCTGGTCACCGTCAGCTCAGCCTCTGTGTCGGAGAACAGACAGTTGTAGATGCAGCGATTGAGTGGCATCTGCCAAACCTCTCAGATAAGCAGGGCTCCAACGACGGGGAGACTGAGGCAGAAAGACCTCAGACACCTGGCTCCAGGTCCTGCAGTTAGTGCGAAGCCTCTGCCCTTTGAGGACTACCTGCATCCACATTCATTTTTCTGGGCCACCAGTGGGGTGGGGGAGGTCACGTCCTCATTTCCAAATGTGGAAACTGAGGCACAAGTAGTTAGGTGACCCGGCTGGACCCTAGAGGCAGGGCACAGTTGGACTATGGGCAGGCCTGGCCTTTGGCTCCATGTAGGAGCATTTGCTCCCCGCTCTCAGGGTGTATTTAAGCCTCTGTCACTCATGATTGGGCGTCTTTCTGGGCAGCGGCTGAGGAGACTGGCAAACGGGAGTGCTTGAGCGGTGTGAGGCGGACCCAGGCCATCCGGAGGCGCCACAATGCAGGCAGCAACCCCACCCCTCCAGCCTCCGTCATGGGCTCGCCACCCAGGTGAGCACCTGCTGGCTGGAGAGGCACGGTGGGGGCCGGCTGGCTCTTAGCAGTGCTGACCCATAGGCTGACCCCTCCCCAGCAGCCTGCAGGAGGCTCAGCGCGGCCGGGCTGCCTCCCACTCCCGCGCGCTGACGCTGCCTTCTGCCCTGCACTTCGCCTCCTCGCTGCTGCTCACCCGGGCCGGCGCCAACGTCCACGAGGCCTGCACCTTTGATGACACCTCTGAGGGCGCCGTGCACTACTTCTACGATGAGAGTGGTGAGCCTCTGCCAAGCCTCTGACCCTGGCTGGCCCAGCGCCCCCTTTCTCTCCCGCTGAG